TAACGCGCGATATATTTCGCGCTATTAACGCGTAAGCGTAGATTTAATCCGTCTTAGAAATAGTTCCAAATTCGTTGAATGAAGCTTATTTGCCATAATTGATTTGTTACAAGTAGCGGAATGTATTCTTTTGGACTTTGTATGGCGTGTTGGGGATGATTTTAATATAAAAAATTCCATTTTGTTTTATTATGATTTTTATTTTTTTAAATGTTACTACTACTCCATAAACCTTAAAAGGCAGTCGTAACATTCAGGAATTCGCCCAGATACGAGAAGTCTTGTTGTAGTTGAAACCCAACTTTTTAGTCTGCGATAATTTTTTTAAAAAAATTAGATCAATTGAATTTAGGACAAAAATTTCTGCTTTGACTAATTTCGAATATAAATTTTTATTTTGGTTGAATAATTTTTGTAATTTTCTGAATTCCAAAATAATTTGATGAAAATTCAAGGGACTAGCTGACTTCACTTGAAAAATTTTCGATTTTAAAAAGAGGTTTTGTGTTCAATTTCAGCCATTTTCATCTGTCAAATATTCAAAAGAAAGAAGAACTTTAGACAAAAAACAATTAACTCATGCACTGTTGCAAGACTAAGTTTATTTTTAAATCAGCAATAAAGGAAACTCTGCGGAAAGAGAATAAAAACAAATGAAGACTAGCAGATAAATTTGGATCCTTTTAACTATTTCTCTCCTATGGTATCTTGTAAAAAGTAGTTAACGTGATCCATAAATTTTTACAAGTCTTTTTTATTTCTTTTTGTTTAAACCGATCTTTTTTTCAAACAAGAGCATCAAGTTGCTTCCAAACATCACCAACTTTTTTTTTTGGACGCTCTGTTTTTCAGAAAAAATATTGAAAATTTAGAGAAAAAACCCGACAATTTTTCAAAATATTTCGTTTATCACTGTACGAAATACAGAGTCTGGCCAAGAAGAAGAAATCGCTAAATTTCAGCCTGAAGAGCAAACAATTCAGACTAGTTTTACGGCATTTTGGCTACTTTAGTCAAATATGAGACTATTTTTAGTTTTTAAAATCTTGTTATTGTTCCGATTTTCGATACAAAAGTAGCGGAATATTTGTGCTCGAGGTGGGTTTTTTTTCTTCAGACAAATTTCGGATTTTTAAAAAGACATTTTTGACGGAATTTTTTAAATCATTGAAAAGGTATTGTTGTCTTGATCTCAAATTTCAACAGATGTTTCACCTGTGATTAGTTTTCGTAGAGTTATGGGCGTTTTAAGGTTGCCATTTTGGCCAATTTGGAACAATAACGCGCGATATATTTCGCGCTATTAACGCGTAAGCGTAGATTTAATCCGTCTTAGAAATAGTTCCAAATTCGTTGAATGAAGCTTATTTGCCATAATTGATTTGTTACAAGTAGCGGAATGTATTCTTTTGGACTTTGTATGGCGTGTTGGGGATGATTTTAATATAAAAAATTCCATTTTGTTTTATTATGATTTTTATTTTTTTTAAGGTTACTACTGCTCCATAAACCTTAAAAGGCAGTCGTAACATTTAGGAATTCGCCCAGATACGAGAAGTCTTGTTGTAGTTGAAACCCAACTTTTTAGTCTGCGATAATTTTTTTAAAAAAATGAGATCAATTGAATTTAGGACAAAAATTTCTGCTTTGACTAATTTCGAATATAAATTTTTATTTTGGTTGAATAATTTTTGTAATTTTCTGAATTTCAAAATAATTTGATGAAAATTCGAGGGACTAGCTGACTTCACTTGAAAAATTTTCGATTTTAAAAAGAGGTTTTGTGTTCAATTTCAGCTATTTTCATCTGTCAAATATTCAAAAGAAAGAACTTTAGACAAAAAACAATTAACTCATGCACTGTTGCAAGACTAAGTTTATTTTTAAATCAGCAATAAAGGAAACTCTGCGGAAAGAGAATAAAAACAAATGAAGACTAGCAGATAAATTTGGATCCTTTTAACTATTTCTCTCCTATGGTATCTTGTAAAAAGTAGTTAACGTGATCAATAAATTTTTACAAGTCTTTTTTATTTCTTTTTGTTTAAACCGATCTTTTTTTCAAACAAGAGCACCAAGTTGCTTTCAAAAATCACCAATTTTTTGTTTTTTTTGGACGCTCTGTTTTTCAGAAAAAATATTGAAAATTTAGAGAAAAAAGCCGACAATTTTTCAAAATATTTCGTTTATCACTGAACGAAATACAGAGTCTGGCCAAGAAGAAGAAATCGCTAAATTTCACCCTGAAGAGCAAACAATTCAGACTAGTTTTACGGCACTTTGGCTACTTTAGTCAAATATGAGACTATTTTTAGTTTTTAATATCTTGTTATTGTTCCGATTTTCGATACAAAAGTAGCGGAATATTTGTGTTCGAGGTGGGTTTTTTTTTCTTCAGACAAATTTCGGATTTTTAAATAGACTTTTTTGACGGAATTTTTTAAATCATTGAAAAAGTATTGTTGTCTTGAGCTCAAATTTGAACAGATGTTTCACCTGTGACCAGTTTTCGTAGAGTTATGGGCGTTTTAAGGTTGCCATTTTGGCCAATTGGGAACAATAACGCGCGATATATTTCGCGCTATTAACGCGTAAGCGCAGATTTAATCCGTCTTAGAAATAGTTCCAAATTGGTTGAATGAAGCTTATTTGCCATAATTGATTTGTTACAAGAAGCGGAATAAATTCTTTTGGACTTTGTATGGCGTTTGGGGGATGATTTTAATTAAAAATTTTCATTTTGTTTTATTACCTTTAATTTTTTGTTATTACTAGTGCTCTATAAACCTTAAAAGGCAGTCGTAACATTCAAGACTTTGCTCTGATACGAGAAATCTTGCTGTAGTTGAAACCAAAATTTTTAGTCTGCGATACTTTTTTTTGAAAAAATGAGATCAATTGAAATTTAGGACGAAAAATTCTCCTTTGACTAAATTCGAAGATAAATCTTTATTTTGGTTGAATAATTTTTTGTAATTTTCCGATTTACAAAACACTTTGATGAAAATGCAAGTGACTAGCTTACTTCAATCTAAAAAATTTCGATTTCAGAATGAGGTTTTATGTTCAGTTTCAGCTATTTTTATCTGTAAAGTATTCAAAAGAAAGATTTTTAGACAAAAAAGCAATTAACTCATGCACTGTTGCAACACTAAGTTTGTTTTTTTTTCAAATCAGCAATAAGGGAAACTCAGCGGAAAAATAATAAAAACAAATGAAGACTTGTAGATAATTGGATCATGTTACCTATTCCACCCCCCTCCCCCCTATGGTACTTTGTAAAAAATAGTTAACTTGATCCATAAATTTTTACATGTGTTTTTTATTTCTTTTTGTTTAAACCGGAGACTTTTTTCAAACAAGAGCATCAAGTTGCTTCTCAAGTATCACCAATTTTTCAATTTTTTTGGACGCTCTGTTTTTCAAAATAAATATTGAAAAGTTAAAGAAAAAAGCTGACAATTTTTCAAAATATTTTGTTTATCACTGAACTAAATACAGAGTTTGGCCAAGAAGACAAAACCGCTAAATTTCATCCTGAAGAGCAAACAATTCAGACTAATTTTACGGCATCTTGGCTACTTTAGTCAAATATGAGACTATTTTTAGTGTTTAAAATTTTGTTATTGTTCCGGTGTTTTGGTTTAAAAGTTCTACCGTGAGTCATAGTTTCTTCGTGATTAATACACTGGTCAAAACAAAAGGTTAAAAGATAGTCACCAAAAAACAACAAGATAATTTTCGTGATAATTTTGTCCTCTTTCTCTTCGAAGAAAAGCTAATAATGTATATTGGCAGACGCGGATCTAGGATTATTTTCTCAAGTGAGGGAGGACTTTCAAAAAAATTTCGAAAATTTATGTCAGCCAAAAATGGATATCTCAAAATAGTACAAAGGGGGGACCCTTTGCGTCAGTATGCGCTCGAAGTACTGAAAAGAGAGCGTTTTCCCCCCTAGAACCACTACTGGCTGATGGTATCCCTCGTGGCATTGAATTTCTACATCTAATTTTGTACAAACAAACTCTGTATAGACCGGGAAATCTTTTCGGTTGACCTGAGGTTGACTTATGTTTTTTGAAAATATAAAAAATCTATAAATGAAAGATTTTTTCCGATTCCCCCCCCCCCCCCCCCCCCCCCCCTCCCCCTATGGTACTTTGTAAAAAATAGTTAACTTGATCCATACATTTTTACATGTGTTTTTTATTTCTTTTTGTTTAAACCGAAGACTTTTTTTAAACAAGAGCATCAAGTTGCTTCTCAAGTATCACCAATTTTCAGTTTTTTTGGACGCTCTGTTTTTCAAAATAAATATTGAAAAGTTAAAGAAAAAAGCTGACAATTTTTCAAAATATTTCGTTTATCACTGAACGAAATACAGAGTCTGGCCAAGAAGACGAAACCGCTAAATTTCATCCTGAAGAGCAAACAATTCAGACTAATTTTACGGCATCTTGGCTACTTTAGTCAAATATGAGACTATTTTTAGTGTTTAATATCTTGTTATTGTTCCGGTGTTTTGGTTTAAAAGTTCTACCGTGAGTCATAGTTTCTTCGTGATTAATATACTGGTCAAAACAAAAGGTTAAAAGATAGTCACCAAAAAACAACAAGATATTTTTCGTGATAATTTTGTCCTCTTTCTCTTCAAAGAAAAGCTAATAATGTAACTGGCAGACGCGGATCTAGGATTATTTTCTCAAGTGAGGGAGGACGTTCAAAAAAGTTTCGAAAATTTCTGTCAGCCAAAAATGGATATCTCAAAATAGTACAAAGGGGGGACCCTTTGCGTCAGTATGCGCTCGAAGTACTGAAAAGAGAGCGTTTTCCCCCCTAGAACCACTACTGGCTGATGGTATCCCTCGTGGCATTGAATTTCTATATCTGATTTTGTACAATCTTTTCGGTTGACCTGAGGTTGACTACTGCTTTTTGATCAAATTATTGAATATTAATAAATAAATTCTTATAAACCATCAATTATTTTAAAAAAATGATCATGCTGAGAATCCATGAATATTTCCGCCTGTGCCAAACTTGGTGATTTTCCTCCCGGATCTGCCCAACAGACACTTCATGCATCTAGGCGAACCCGAGGGCTTGCAAAAATCGCACAGTTCTTTGTCTTCGCAATCATCGTCTTCATCTTGGTTTGAATTAGATCCTTCGTAAGAACCTCTGTTAGCCTCGTAGAAGTTCTCGAGATGATCTGACAAGTTAATATTTCGAGTTACCAATTCGCTGTTTTCGCTCAGAATCATGTTAGTCAATTCGAGAACACGTTTGGCATCCGGATCCTCGTTTGTTGGAGATTTCTCTTTCGGTTCAGATTTTTTGTTCGAATCCGGTTCCAAGTTTTGCCGGTCTGACTCAGCATCGGTTAACCAAAAGTCACTTTTCTTTTCATCCCATGATTCCTTTTCCAATTTTCCATCCTTAAGTGTTCTCTTGGAGCCGATGTGTTTCTCCGAATACCCTCCAAAACGGGACCTCGTCCTGAAAACTCTCCAACCTTGTAGTTTCCCAAACTACCTGAAATGTCTGCACGGGTATCAAAATCTTTTACCTTTTCTGAGTGTTTCGCTTTCGTAGTTTCAATTTTTACTTGTCCTTGAGGATTTTTTTTCTCAATATTTGAGCTTGTTTCCGATGATCTACGTTTATACTGTGCGTTCAAAGTTCCATTTCCACTGACAGTTGGAAACGTAATTCGTTGTTTTTCATCTGACGAAGAGATTTTCAACGTACGCCCTTCAAATGAACCAGAGCCGCTTAAATTTGCATCAATATCGGAGCGCTTTGATAGGAGCTTTCTGCGTTCGGAACCGTTTCGAGAGTCCCACTTGAACTGTCCTGATTTTTCAACTTCAAAATCAGCGGAAGCTTGTCCCTTTCCTTTCAAATTGGCTTGAAAAGAAGGGCCTTCAAACTTAATAAGGCTCTTCTTTCCGTCTGAAGCAGTAGATGGTTTTTTCGCATCTTCGAATTTTTGCACCTTTTTGCTGCCACTACCAGCGACTGATCCAGTATTAACTTTGGCATCATCCAATTGTTTGGTGTCTTTTTCATTTTGCCATTTTTTTCGCTGCCAGAAACAATTTTTTTACCCACAGTCAAAGTGTCTTTTCCGACATCTTTCCAATCAATCTTTCCCGAACTTTGTCTCCCGCTCGTTTGCAGATGACTGCTTTGTTCACGCCATGAGCTGTTCTCGGTTACTCGTTGATTTTCTTTAGTTCGGACTTTTCCAGCATCGAAACTTCCGGTCCATTCATAGCTCGGACCATCGGCAGTTTTATCTCCGATCTTGTATTTATACACATGGCCCGAAGAAGACCCCTCAACTTTGAATCGAGCCTCGGTTTTTGACGACGAACTTTTACTTCCTTCGGCCGAGCTACCAGCTTTCTTGCATTTGATTTTTCCTTTGACATTTCCTTCGAACTCTCGTCGGATTTTACCTTGAACTTGACCTTCAGCTGTGGCGGCAGGACCAGAAAATTTGTACTTACCATTCAAAACATTGGCTTCAAGCATGTTTCCACGTAAATAAGCAGAGCCATCTAAAGTTCCCCCAATATTATAGTCACCTGCTGCAGAACCTTTTAAATCAATGGACTGACCATCACTTGATGCTCTTCCTTCACCCTTAGCATTAGCTCCCCCTTGAACATAAGCGTCCACTTCGACACCTGCTTCAGTTGACGGACCTCGGACTGACGCCAGGCCATCGACGCCAGCTGAAAAGGCCGAGACGCCAGCGCCCGCGTGAAATTTGCCGCCTAGTTTTCCCATCATTTTCCCGCCGGCGTCGTCGATCGTCCCACTTGCCATCGGGTTTTGACCACTATTCGCACCTGAAGATCCTGCTGATTCTCCGCCTCCACCTCCGCCACATACACCGCCTCCGCCTCCGCCACCGCCTCCGCCTCCGCCTCCCCCGCCTAGTCCAATATTGGTAAACCAGTTTAAAGGGTTCAAGTCCACTCCGAAACCACCAACTCCAAGTGATACGTTTCCTGCTGATATGGCATTGAAACCAACAGAAACTTCAGCCGATGGTCCAGAAATGTTTAAATTTCCAAAGGACGCAGTTGCTCCACTGAAATTGGCATTTGCTCCAACGCTAGCTCCTAAAAGCCATGCAATGAACAGAAAAACTCAAAATATTAGAAGGAATTCATATTTGAGATAAATCCAGGAGCAAACACAAGGAAAAATGGAAAGCGACCTAAAAAAATGTTCAATAAGTAACAAGGATAGCTGGTTGCTGTGCAAGTAGCACAAAATAATCCGACAACATTCACAAAAAACTAAATAAAAAATTTCTTTTTTTCTTCAATTCAGTGCCGTTTTTTGTGCAAGGTGTGACGAGAGAACTATAAAAAAGGCGAGAAAATTGAAGAATTAGGCATAATCGACAACAGTTTTCTACAAAAAATGAAAAAAGAAATCAAAAACAAAATTTTCAATATTTCTCAATATATTTTGCAATTTTTTTTTAATTTGCAAAAATCGAAGGGCTTTAATCTGATAGATCACTCGATCTATTCCGGTGATTATTTGTGGTACCTGATTTTATATGGAAAACAAAAGAAATGAAAAAAAAAACACGCGAATACAAAGCTCTTCTCCATGTTGATTGTTCGGAACAAAAACGGCTCTAGACGTTGTGTCTACAATCGTGTGGAAAAATGTAGCGTTTGTAGCTTAAATTCTTCTACTCCCCCAACCCCCAGTTGCACCTTATTCAACCATTTTTTAAATTTAATATCATTTCGTAAAATCAATGGTTACACCGAAAAGTAGACGTTTTTATCTGGTGGCCCAGAAACCTAGTAGATGGTATGAATACGAGTAATCAAAAACAGCTTCAACTTTGTACCCTGCGGGCTAAATCACTTGTATATAACAGAATGTTGCTTCGAACGAAATTCGGATAAAATATACTCATTTGGTCCTAGCTATTTTAATCAATAGTTGAAAAGCACTGTTCATTTTTGTCATTTACCTGTTATATTTACATTTCCTGCGTTCAGCCCCGCCCCTTGAGCCGTTGCACCGGCAGATGCACTTATCCCAGTAACGCTTACGTTGCCCGTATTCTTCGCTGCTCCTGTCGCCTTGACCGTAGCTTCAGCCGAGCCTCCTTGAACAGACACGTTTCCACTATTTGATTGGACACCTGTTGCACTTGCTGAAGCTGAAGCGTCCACACCACCTATGTGAACGTTATTTTTAGACTGTCCGGTTAATGCTGCTTGGGCTGAAGCTCCCGAAGTTGCGCCTTCAATATCGACGTTGCCACTGGACTCCACGTTCATTGCAGCGGTAGCAGTGGCATCGAAAGCAGCTCCTGTGAGCGCAATTTTATCTTTCGTTTCAGCTGTCATTTGTGCGCCTGCTCCGATGCTGTTTGAAGTCGCCGCAACGTCAATTTCGTCTCCAGAGTTTTCAGTCTCCATTTCTGGATAGCCATGAGAATTCTGGTATCCCAAGTTTTCACCGCAGTCGCCCTCGGAACACGTGTCGCAATATACATCTGACCCTGTGTCTGAAATGTAATTGTCGTCGTCTGGAATGTAACTCGGTTCCTCGTATAAATCATTTCTTTCTGTGTTTGAAGCGTTGAGTCTATGGGAAGAGCACGATTGCACCTAAATTGAAAGTTTGAATTCAAAGTCTAAATTGAAATTTGAGCGCTAAATGAAAGCATTGGTATTTAAAATTGTTGGATGAACAATATCCCACGAAAATACGGGCAAAGTAAAGACAGACTCTTATAAGGACAACTGGATCGAAGTTGGATTGAAACAAACTAAAACCAAGTCAACCGGTGCTTATAAATTAATTAGTTAATTGACCTTTACCTACTGTGTGATAATCTTGAAATTTATGTTCAATTTCTTTTCATCCTATCAACTTCCTTTTCATCCTATTTTTAAACATTACGTCAAATCTCAATCACTAACTCGAACCCTGAAATATATTAGCTTTATTTCTACTTGACTTTGTACGGAAGTCACGAATAAAAAAATTTCAAACATATCAAGGTTTAAGCGTACTCCAATAAAGCTTAATAAGTTTTTAATAAACTTGAACCCAATTGTTACAGTTGAACCAAGTTCATCAACTGAGGGTGACGGTACAGTTTCATTGCGGAATATTGAAGTCGACCGGATCGAGCAAAAAGCAGTACCCGCACTCAGTAAAAGAGAAATTTATAGATTATAGGGGATTTTTATTTTCAGTCTTCATGATTTCAAAAAGAAACGGTTATAATTGATTAAAAATGGATTATAATGCTACTATTTTTGAAACAAAAACTTTTTTATAATTGATTATAATAGATTATAATCGAACACTTACAAAAAATTTTCTGAAGTTTTATTGAGTTATAGTTCTTGTTAATCGATTATAATACATTTCAATCGATTATAATCCATTATTTTTCAACAAACGTCATTGTTTCATTTTGTTTTGAATTAATGTGGGCTATGTAATTTTAGTTGGTATCATTTTTTTTTCATTTTTTTTTCATTAGCGTACAAAATTAACAAAGTGGGAAAAAACTAAAAAGCAACCAAACCAACTACTATTGATAGAATTAAGACAGAGAAATCTGTGACAATAAAACTAAAACTAAAGTTTAATAGTTAGCTCTCTTTGTCGGTACTCCTAGCGCTGGTTGAGGCACGGCTTGGTTCTCTGTATGTAAAATGCTTCCAAAGTCAGAAGTTTGTAGTTGTCCGTACAATAAGATTAGTTTTCAAAGTGCATACAGGCTGCTGGAAGCAGTTATCAAGACCGTGGCAAACTATGGAATCTCCGTTTTTGCCTCATCGGACTATCAGGAATCTGTTGAAACCCACTATAGAAGCATCATTGGTCGATACTGGAAGCGTTGGGCCAATATCTTCAAGTTTTACACCAACAGACAACTCTTAAAGCACTTATACGAAGACGATTTTCTAAATATTCAGGGTGCAAAACCCGGCAACAGACGGCCATTTGCTCTTTTTTATGCTAACGGGTTACATCAGCTGATGTGCCGCACAGAAGGCTGCTATAGTCCCGAGGAGCCAAGCATTTGCATCTGTAAGCTTTGCGACAATCCTATCTTCGGGAAATTTCACCTACTCACTTCTAATGCCATACAACCTGGAACGGAAAAGGGGACAAAGTGCTACAACTCTACCATAACCCACGTATGATACACCAAATTCAGTGAACTAAGTGTGCTCTAATGTCTATTCTAATCTTTGCTTTTGCTTTATAGAAATGTTTGTTTAATACTGTCTAGTCAAGATGTAATTCAACTTCTCTCTCTAAGTATTAACGAAACATCATTATTCTTTATTTGAAAGGTAATAACTGGGATACTACCTTTCCCACTAATATCAATACCTTTTACCGCGATACCTTTTTTTTACTGGGATACATTTTACTGGGGCCTGACTTGACCGTTCCAGCTTCTCGATAACTGTATTTCATTTTCATTGATGCGGTGTGGCAGTTTGAATGGTAAAGGGTGTTCATGAACAGAGAAAACTTTTGAAAATCACTGTTTTTGAGTTTTGCTTCACTAGGGGATTGAACTGTGCATCCTATTAATTTAAAAAATTTTTTTTTTTTTGTTTATTGAAACCATTAACCATTTTTACTGCCACTCGCGACCATAGAGTTTTTTATCTATGCCAAATTGAAGCGCTACTACCAAAGAACCTATTTTGGCATAAGATTTTTTTAAATTTAAAAATCAGGACAGTTACGTTGGCTTGAAATTTTTAAAAACTGGACAAATTTGGGCGACATTATTGCTTTTATAGTATTTCAACCGAGGGGGGAGGTTAAGGATTAATAATTATACCAGTAATAATTCCAATCTGGGGGAGGGGGTGTAAGGGGGTGGGGTGTTGTGTTTGGAGGGGGGTTTTGTGTTGGAAGTGGGGGGACGTGGACGATTGGTGGTTTTATTCAACCTGGGATATGTATCTCTTTGTGTGCCCCTGTGAGCGTCTGAATATGTGTCCCTTTACGTGCCCCTGTGAGTGTCTGATTATGTGTCCCTGTGTGCCCCTATGAGCCTCTGAACACGTGTCCCTATGTGTGCACCTTTGAATGTCTAAGTATGTATCCCTATGTGTGCCCCTATAAGTGTCGGTGAGTAAGTGTGTCCCTGGGGTTCTGTTTTTTAAGTGGGAGGGATGATGTATTTGCTAGTTTTTAAAAAAATTTTCTCATATTATTTTTTCATTTTGCTTCTTCTGTTTATGTCTCAACCACCTGAAGGTGTCACCTGAAGATGCATCCTGCCTACATCAACCTGTCACATGAAGTGATATGATGTGACGTCTCAGTTAGTATACAGGTCATACAATAAAAACTCGATGTATATAAATAATCATAATGCGTGATGGATGTGACTTGATTGTAGGGATTCTCAGATCCTAGAGAAGGACGTGAGCTGACAGAGGAAGAGGAGAAGATATTGGATACCATCAACATCCACCTGTCACCTGGAGGTGCATCCTACCTACACCCAGCTGTCACCAGAAGGTGCATGATTAAGGGGAACTGATAAACGAAAAGAAGCTGTAATTTTGTACTTAAAGGTTAACTTTAAAATAAATTTGGTTTTTCCTGTAATTTCATGCAGATTAGCTAACTTATAACCCATTATAATTGGTTTTTTTGTGAGGTAATATTTCGATAGAAAAAGGGAATAAAATCTATTATAGCAGATTATAATAGATTATAAGAGATTGAAAGAGATTATAAGAGATTTTCGGAAAAATTATAATCAATTATAACTGATTATAATTTATAATAATGTCACGAAAATGTTATCAATATAATGGTTTATACATCGTGTAAACACCTAAAATTGGCGCTTATAATTAGTTATAAATTTGATAAAACTACAATTATAATTGTAATGTAATCGATTACTTTTTCTTTTTACTGAGTGCGGGTAGAGTTGCCTCTTCTGAGAATCAAGTGCAGATGTGAGCTAGAGGACGGAGCACCCATCCAGTCGATACAGACTGACTTACTTCGACTCTTCTGCGATCGGAATAATTTTTCCTGGGGCTATTCGGAAGCAATCTTTGGTCCCGGGAAGGGAAACCTATCGGATACCCCAACGATCTTGTACTTTATCGGATAGATGTGAAGTCAGCTTTCTGCAGCTTTCCTTGTAGCAGTCAGAAAAAGACAAATTAGAACAGCAGCGTTCTCTGCCTATGTTTTTAGCCACATTGAAGTTTTTGCGGGTTGCGGCAGGCAAGTGTTTTCGGCATCAATAACTACTTGTTTAAAATGAGACTAAGTTTGGCATATTGTTCGGATAGATCAAATTAGTTTTTGTTGCACATGTCTCGAGAAAATGGACATAAATCTTCTGACAAAATTCTCTTCTGATTGATTCACGAAAAAAGATGACAGATGTACATCTTTACACTTTTGGCAATAATATTAAACCTTCGGAGTGCGACTCTGAAATTATTTCAATACAACTGCTGATTTACGCTGCTAGACTGAAGACCAGCGAGTTTACCGGTTGAGTCAAAGGAAGCATTTTCAACGAAAGCCGAGGAGTAGAGAGAAAGAGAGAGAAGAGAGAGGGAGAAAGAAAAGAGAGAGAGGAGAGAGAAGAGAGAGGGAGAGGAGAGAGAGGGGGAGAGAGAGAAGAGAAAGAAGAGAGAGAAGAGAGATTGGGGAAAGAGAGAGAGAGAGAGAGAGAGAGCAAGAGAGAGAGAGAGAGAGAGAGGGGAGAAGAGAGAGGGAGATGAGAGAGAGAGGGCGAGAGAGAGAGAAAGAGAGAGAGAGAGAGAGAGAGAGAGATAGAGAGAGAGAGAAAGATAGATAGATAGATAGATAGATAGAGAGAGAGAGAGGGGGGGGGAGAGAGAGGGAGATGAGAGAGAGAGAGGGGGGAGAGAGAGAGAGGGGAGAGAGAGAGAGGGGAGAGAGAGAGAGGGGAGAGAGAGAGAGAGAAAGAGAGAGAGAGAGAGAGAGAGAGAGAGAGAGAGAAGAGAGAGAGAGGAGAGAGGGAGATGAGAGAGAGAGAGGGGGAGAGAGAGAGAAAGAGAGAGAGCGAGAGAGAGAGAGAGAGAGAGAGGGGGGGGGGGGAAGAAAGAGAGAGAGAGAGAGAGAGAGAGAGAGAGAGATAGAAGAGAGAGAAGAGAGAGGAGAGAGAGAGAGAGAGAGAGAGAGGAGGAGGAGAGAGAGCCAGATGTGGGGACTCAAGAATTCAATTTCTGTTTGAGGCATAGCGGGATGCACTGGGTAGGTGGCTTGCGTTAGAGCTCACTAGTGTATCAGAAGTAGCCAACAGCTACAACTGTTCATTAAAAAAACAGAAAAGGTTGAGGCTTTATGAATTCGCAGTCTCTTACTGCCCCGGAATTGTTTATAAAGCGAGGTTAATTACGAAACACATTTTATTTGAAATGCACCTCTGTGATAGAAAATGTTAAGCGCTATAAAATATCAGTTTTAGCCTCGCTACTCGGGCAATTGTAGAAAAGTACTTGGAAAAGGCGATTTACCATCATTCACACCAAGCTATGCCATAGAAGTAGCTGATCAAAAAGTAGCTGATAAGTGAGATCTCTTTTCAGTGGAATTTTTGTGCTGTGTGAAGACCCATCAGTCATCAGCGACAAAATTCAAAACTGCATCAAAAAGTGATCGAAGCTCCTCGGTGTGAGGTTTTGCTTTGTTGGAGTACGAAGTGAAAGGGACTTTTGAACTTTGAACTCCAATACTGCCCAGCCGCCAATATGGAAGCCGACTTGATGAAGAAGTTGCTGAGAGCAATAGAAAGGGTCAATTACACTTAGCCTCATCAAACTCATACAACTTCAGCTTTTTAATTTCGACTTTTAGTTCGACGTTACTAGCTAACAATTAGCTAATTGTAAATTTTTGATATTCAGTTTCTAATGTCATTTTTTTCACTTTGACAGTTCTTTTTTCTTCAACTAGTACCTTGTTTTGTAATAGGTTGAAAAATCACATCAAACCTAAATTCATGGATTCTTTTGATCTAATTGATCTAATTTTGAATTGTAGCAAAAATGATAATGAAAGATTTTTCATTTACAGCATGCGTTTAGGTGATTGTAGTTCAGCTTACTTGAAACTTTTGAGAGATTGGTTATTGATCTTATTAGCAATACTACGTTTTCCGCAGATCGAGTGTTTGAAAACCTATCGCTGATCTAATGAAGTAACTCGCGTCCAGATAATTCGGACAAAGTCAATTCAGCCGATTTAAATTTATGCAATTCAGCCAAAAGTATGCAGACAATTCAGCAAGAGACTATTCAGCCAATAACAGTGACCGCCGCAGTCGCGCCAACGTGTTGCGAGCTTGCCAACAGAGGGTAGGACTCTATACAAAATTTAGAGCCGGTTATCGCCGCAAAGCGGCGACGCGAGCGCAGCGCGCCCACCGGCGACCTTAAATCGAGAAATAACTCCAATTCCGATTTTTTTTCTTTCAAATCTAGCGTTATGTAAAACTGGCTGGATTGTCTGTATATTTTTGGCTGAATTGTCTGAATTTCAAATCGGCTGATTTGTCTGTGCGCCGAAGTAACTATATGTTTGAATAGAAGTTACCATTATACTTTCTGAAAACCTTATTTTTTAATGAGAACTTGAATTTAATTAAAATAATTCAGCTATCTGTTGACAGCTAGCTGTGCCTCTCAAGGTAATTGAGAGTTACCAATCAAATTATTGTTTGCTGAAGTTTAACCCTGTTAAGTCTAAACGGTTCAAGGTTGAGGTTGAAAGACGAAAGTGATTTTTTTTGGGATGTAATTCCATAAAATCAATTTTCCAAAGGTTTTTTCAATAGTTAAAAAAAACATGGTATGACAAAAACTCCAACCTTATTGGTCTCTTATTTAGCTCTATTATTTATACCTCCTAAGAGTGGTTTTGTGTAAATGTATACAAACCATTGAAAAATCTTGTTCTATGGTTGTTTGGTTATCTTGATCGCCTACAGAAAGGGCGATGGCCAGGTCTAACTCATCGTCACCGGTAGCTGCAGCGATTGAAAGTTTGATGGCCAAATCGAAGTCAACCTCAGAGTCACTTCGTTGAAGTTTATTGTCTACTGTTCCCGGAGCAGGAGTTGCAGGACTCAACAGGGTTCCGGCATCCAGGGCTTTGGGTTTCTGCGATTTCGCTGGCGCTTTGACCGAACTATTGCTTACAGAAGTGGAACCGGATGCGGTTGATGCCTCGCTAAAACTTAAAAACTCGGCAGTCATATTACTCTGACATTTTAAATTGTGGTTTCTGCGATCCGCAGAGGATCCATAGGCTATCCGGCCTGTCTAAGCATAATCCGTTTCTCGTATTTCCCTAAAATCCAGACTAGTTATTTTGTTGATATATGGTAAGAAGTACAAAAAAGTATAGCATAGCAAAAAGAAACTTCTCTGATGATGCATATGAGCAATATTTCTGCCTTCAACAAAAAAATTGTTTTCTTGTGGTTTCAAAAATTCAATAGTCAATTTGGTATCTTCCTTTTGCAATAGCGTTCGGGTTGGGATAGTTTTTCTATGTTACATAATTAATTAGGTCACGCTAGATGAATCGAATATGGTTTGAAACTAAAAATCATTGTGAAATACCTGAGGTTTGTTTTGTCACTATTCTCTATTTCATCTTTCTTACTCTCCTTTTCGTCTGGCTTTGGTTTGGAATCTTTCGCACGACCTAGACGTTTTCCTTGCTTTTCTTCTGATTTTTCCTCCGAGTTTTCAGGTTCCTCAGATTTGCTTTTCCACCACTTCATAAAATCAGCTGCCAATTTGGTCGCTTTATTTTTCACATTATCAGGTGCCGCAGCTATTTTTGCAAGGAGTGGCTCGCTCAAAAACTCCATTTTTTCAAACGCGCTTTCGCCTTCGCAGAACCAAGGATGAGATCGCAAAACTGCCGAAACCACATTTGCGTTGTTCGAAAACTTTCGGTTAAAAATGATGGTTATTTCTGCTTTCCAGGATTTCGGCTCTTCATTCATTTTATTTAGATCTTTAAGGACATCAAGGAGAAATTCATCTGAGAGAATCTTCAATCTTTTTGAGATGCTTCCATGAATAGTGAAAATGTCCCATGAAATTTCCTTGCATTTCGCAGTCGTAAAAGGAAGAGATTCGAATAAGATTACATTGAAGGTTTCCAGGTCCATTTCAAATAATCAGCATAAGTCGTGGGCTATAAAATTAAAACCCTTGTTCCTACCATTGTATTCGGGTGTGTTTTAGTTTTATTTTTTTTTATTTCCACGCAAAATAAGCTACCACAAAAAAACATCGAAATGGATCGGGTGAGATATCATATTAAAACACTTTCAGTCGTGATTCGAACTTCATTTAAAAAAATTTAAAAATCGCAAAAAATTGTCCCAGTTTCGAGAAAAACTGACTTGAAATTTTGGAGATTTAGTCTGATTTCGAGCGATTAAAACAAGCGAGGAGGCTAACAATAGCTTGTTTCTTTATTTAAGCCGTGAAGGCTTAGTATTAACTGACTAACGTTAGTTTTTGGAGTTTTTAAATGCCTTTTTGTGAATCAAAAATTCAAAAATTTTCTGTTAAAAGCTTTTATGGTTGTTTTTCAATTTTTTTCAGGCTAGATGTGGAGGATTTTTGTATTCGGGTGTGTGTTTTTTTCTTCTTTTTTTTGCTTTCCACGCAAAATCAAGTACCACAAAAAAATTTCGGAATGTATCATGTTAAAGCCTTTTTAGTCTTGACTTGAACAACATTAAAATGATTTTAAAAAATTGAGAAAAACCGGTTTCAAATTTTCGATTGATTGTTATATAAATTTCGAGCTAATAAGTTTAATCAAAATAAAGTTGCAGGCTTACAGTAGCTCATTTAAGCGTAACTTAAGCCAGGAAAACTTAGTTTTATTCGAGAAAAATTAGTTTTTGGACTTTTTTAGCGCCATTTTGGGAAAAACTTCAAAAATTCAAAAAAATGTCCGCAAATAAAAAAAGAAAATTTACTAATTTTTTTAAACATTTTTCTTCCATTTTCAAGTCATTTTCACAAAAACTAATTTTCACTTAACTTGTTTGACTATGATTTTCAAATTTACTTAATTTCTTATTTATAGTTCAGATCTTTCTATCACAACACACGAAAAAACGACACTAATTTGGAAAAAAAACTTCAAGACTATGGTCGGAACGTTCTGTGCTATTTGATTTGTTTGAACCGTCTATCCTTGTTTTTATTTCGTTTTGTTTTGTTAGTGATAGAACTATTTAACCGAGTTGTTCAAAGTTAGTGTGTGTCAGCTTTTTAAGTCAGCGTTTAACCAAAATAATTTTCTGAGAACTTAAAAAAACCCCATTGTAAACGGTGCGTATCTTAAAAATTATATGATAATTGTTCATAATGAAGAATGATTTTTACAATAAATTCAAGTTAAAACATTCATCCTTAAAGAAAAATGTTTCTGACAGCGTCCTCGGCTCCATTCTAATTTTGAGGGGGGAGCGCGCGCCGAAAAAGCACAATTTTTTTATCAAAATTTTCCAAAAAGTGCCAAAAAACGCCTTTTTCGGCCTGTTTTTTTTTAGAAATTTTGCCTGCTGCGCGGAAATTTCAGCCAAAACAGCGTCTTTTTAGTGCTTTGGGAGAGCTCACAAAATCAATTTGGTCGACCTAAAAAAAGGTCGACAAAATTCTCGATTTTTTTTTAAATCCGCCCCCCCAGATCCTAGATCCTAGATCCGCCCCTGTATACAGCCTATTTGAAAAGTTATGATAACGACAATTTTAAGACAATTATATTGCGCTTTTAACCAGTTTTCCACTAGCGTATATTTTAACAGGTAAATTAAGCCTGCTCAGAAATCATTCCAAAGTGAACTCTGGATACCTAATTGGACCAAATGACATGTTACCTAACGATGAAAAAATCACTTTGCTCTCAGTACGTTGATCCATTTTGGGTTAGTGTTTTATTAAAGTTTTCTACCAAAAATGTCCGTTTGTTCGACACATGTGTCCCTAAGTCAGATTATAGGAGATCAATTTTGATCAGCCAGGTGCGTAGTTACAAGGAAGTCATATCAGAGGGAAGAAGTTTTTCTGAAAAGGCTAACAACCTAAACTTTACGGCTTTTATCTAAAAAACGGAAAATTTTCTGCTAAAAAACGGAAAATCCAGTAGTTGCAGCAAAACCCACACACTCACCCTGAAAGCTAGTGGCAATGATAAATTGCGTCAGTTTAAAAGTAGAAGGCTGATGAATTAATACTTTTAATGATGGTGCGTAGCTCAAACTTAAAATTCATACGTTGAGTTTAACGAATATAAAAGAATAGTGCAAAATTTGAAAAGCTATTACACTGGCCATGCTTAGATAGCTCAGCTTAAGCATGGTATTATATCATATCAACACGCTCTGGACATTCCTTGCAACATTCTTGCGACATATCGATGCGACTAGAAGAGAACACATTATCGGTAAAATACAACAACAATGATCGTATCAGCGCGAAGCCTGAATGTTCTGATGACATTTTCATTTCTGATTTAAATTAAACTAATTAATGAAATTGTCAAAAAAACATAAACATTTTAAGAAAATTTTTTGAACTTTTATGAAAAGCATTCTCCTTTACGCTATGTAAAGTACAAAGTGATATATTTTGCGAATAGCAGCGTATGAAATAGACCACAGAGCATGCCTCAACCCAATTTGGAACAACTTCTAAGACAGATTAAAATCGGCCTAAGCGTTGATAGCACTAAATACATTGGGGCGTAGCGATTATATTCCACCATAGTGTGATAGTCGGAACAAAAACAAGCACTATAGATTAAATATTTCAATAGCCGGAACAAAATTTAGCACTTAGCTGTAAACATGACAACTTATACATCAAATTTTCCAAGATATCTATCTTCAGGGACCATTTTTGTTCTGACCATTTGGAAAGTTTTGAGGAAATTTGTATTCGGGTGTGTTTTAGTTTTTTATTATTTTTCCACGCAAAATCAGGTACCCCAAAATTAATCAGAATGGGTCGAGTGGTATATCATACTAAAGCCCTTTCAATTTGGATTCGAACTGTATTAAAAAACTTCAATTTTGAAATTTTTGATTTTTAGTCTTTTTTCGAACTAATATGGTGTAGCGCGTAGGCTAACAATAGCTTATTTAAGCTTACTTTAAGCAGTGAAAACTCAGTTGTACTCAATTGAAAGTAGTTTTTCTGAGTTTTTCCGCGCCATTTTGAAAAGAAAGATTAAAAAAACAAAAAGATTTTCCAAAGTTTTCGTAAACATTTTTTTAAACAGTTTTTTTCAGAAACTGTATTCCGAATGGCCCTTTTTACTATGACTGTCAAAAATATTCATCTTTTTTTTGTTCAGATCTTTTTTATCTCATCATGCAAAAAAATTACATTAACTTTAAAAAAAAGTTTTTTTTTGTTTTTTTTTCTATGACTGTGGTCGGATCATTCTGTGCTACTTGGACAGTAACCGGCTATCCTTTTTTCTTGTGCATTTTGATTGTTTCAGTTGGCGATTTTATAGAAGTAAAATAGTAAAATTTAAAATAAAAAAGAATAAAGATACTTGGGTTTTCAAGCTCTTTTGGACAGCTACGTTTAAATATAGGACGAAAGGAGCCGATTAAAATCCAAGATAACTATCAAGAAAAGTAAAATGCTTAACACAAATCTGAACGCAAAACCAGAACGCAATATTTCCCGTGACGAGCTGCACAAAGAACAACAAAAACATATGGTTAGCGTTTAGAAGCGCATTAATGTGTCCAAAAACCTTGCAATAAGAGCGCGTGAGTTGTTACAATTTGATAAATAACAACAAAAATTCCACAAAAAATCAAAAAAGGTATGATTTTAATTTGTCAGTTACCCGTACCGAGGGCAAATTGATCATAATAGATTACATGGTCATAAAATGTCAGTATCTAAAAAATTACAAAATAATTGATTCTAATCCATTAAAAATGGACTATAATCCTACATTTTTTTGTTTCGATATAATCCATTAAAAACAGATTATAACCCTTATACTTTTTATGCCATTATAATCAATTAAAGTTGATTATTATCGATTAGAAAGGATTTCTTCGAGAGGTTATTCATGAAATTTACAACTACTTTCATAGTTATCTCATTTACTGTGTAGTGCAGTTGCTACGTATTACATCTCAAAAAAGTTACATTTGACATTAAAATTTATATATCTTTCTGTTTTATATACTTTGAGTTTTAGTCCAAGTTGATTAAGCAAAAAAAATCTTTTTCTCAATTAATATTTGATAAATATCAAGAAAAATTAAATGCTTAACGTAAATCAGAACGAAAAACTAGAGCGCAAATCTTCCCATGAGGAGCTGCACAAAGAAAAACAAAAATATATGGTTAGCGTCTAGAAGCGCATTAATGTGTCCAAATACCTTGATTTAAGAGCGCGTTAAGTTACAGTTTGACAACCAACAACAAAGATTCCCCCAAAAAAAAGTATGATTATATTTTGTCAGTTAACTGCACCGAGCGCCCATGGGTCATTATCGATTATATTGTCATATGTTCAGTATCTATAAAATTACAAAATAATCGAATATAATCTAATAAAAATGGACTATAATCTTCATATTTTCTATGCCAATATAATCCAATAAAATCGATTAAAATCGATTAGAATGGGTTTTTTTTTGAGAGTTTATTCAAGAAACTTACAACTTTTCTCAAAGTTATCGCATTTACTGTGTATTGCAGTTGCTACGTACTACGTCTCAAAAAATGTTATATTTCACATTAACATTTATATATACTTTCATTTTTTTATACTCTGAGTTTTTTGATCTCCAGTTTACTTCACCCCCCTTCCAGTTTACTTTTACCAACAACCCATCCCCCCAGTTTACTTCTACCCCCTTTAGTTTGCTTCTCCCCCAGATTACTACTCCCCCCATTTACGACCCTTCCCTACCGCTAATTCACCACAACCGCCATTCGCCCCCTTATGGTTGAACATGGGGGAGGGGTCATTTTTGGTAGACTTTGGGGAAGGGGAGGGGGTTAATGATTGGCACCCCACAGTTTACCGCCCCCCTCTTTAGTTGGGGAGAGGTAAAAAAAACTTGAGGTAGTGACATTGAGACATGGCACATAGTACAAGACATGGCATAAAATTTAAAACTTTCCTGCAAAACTTGCAAAATTTTTGCAAAAGTAATCGAATTCTATTCGATAGTTCTAAAAATGAAATGGGTTATAATCAATTATAATGGAATATAATGGATTTTTATTCAAAAATAATCAATTGCAATGTATTATCTTGGCGAAATAATCGATTTCAGTGCCAAAACTAATGGATTAAAAGCGACTATAATGGATTAGAATGGGTTAATTTTTTTCAAAAATAATCGATTATAATACCTATATAATCGATTTCCTTGTCTGAATTTTACATCTGTAATATAAATTCTGTAATATAAAATTCGGCTAAACCAAATTCGATATCCACGAGGGAAAGGACTGACATACAAGCTGTACAGCTCATCACGGCGAACCGCTGTTGTGTCACTGTTTAGAAACTACATGCCGTTTTTTTGGTTATTTTTCTGGACTGGGTAATGTTGCCTCATCCCCAAGCAATGAGCACGGATCACGGTGGGTATTCAACATCAGACCTTTCGATTGAGAGACGGAGTTGTAACCATTTCATCACCATGCCACTAATAGGATGAAGCAATCGGTTTTGCCTAACTAGGTCACGACCATGTGCCTAACCTTAGATACTAAGTTTTTGATAAGTCAAAACTTCTCAAGGCTATTAAATTTTATTTATTATAGCTAAACTATCACGAGGTTCTTACTGTAAGCGTTATAACTATTGAATAAGTTTCATTTTGGAAAGCGGGACAAAAACTTTTTTACCTGTGCCTTTTTCTTATAATCATACAGCATCATGAGTGAACGTTATGCCAGATTGGCCATCGATTGGTTTTTCTGGTCCACGACCCTGTGAAATGTAACCAAAAAGGCTTATAGGTGAATTTATGAAATTGTAATTGTTTCCGCAAACTTCTTGTCCAACAAAATATCATAACATAACAATCTTGGCTTTCAACAGCCCAAAAACATAAATTAGGACTTTGGTTAAATTGAAATGATCGCGCTCATTAATTCGAACCTGTTCATGACGTCAACTGGCAAAAAAACTGTTGAAAAGTTTTCCCTTAAAACTTTAGTACGGTTTTCTCTTTTTTTTAACATAAATTGCTGCGTTCATTTATGCACCAAGAAAACAAAGCTGATTTAAATTATCCGGACTAAGAAGAGTTGTGAAAACTAAGAACTCTATTATTATTAACACCTAGTTACACTTTTTTTAACAATTACATAAAATTATTTAATTAATTAAAGGATACACAAAAAAGTTAAACGAAATTCAAGAAATTTAGTATTTGGTATGATAACCATTACTTTTAGCACTGCATTTATTCTATGACGACTGCTCCGATATAACCAATGATTGTAGTCGTCCGGAATTGCCAAAACTGTTTCAAAACCTTGACGAATAAGTTTTTTTAACTGTTGCAGGGTGTTTTTCACGAATCTTCTGTTTCATGTACTTCTATAAGTTTTCAATAATTTTCAAATCTGGAGATTGTGGGGGCCAATTTTCCAAAACTTGAAAAGCATTTTCCTGAAAAAAATTTGTTGAAAAGTTGTAATTATGGCAACTGGCATTGTCTTGCTGGAAAATGTTGTCCAGAAAAATGTTTTCCATCAAAATGGTTTCAAGCAATTTGCAATTTTTGGAATGATTAATGTTTCCGTCGATGACAACCAAATTTTTCCCCCGAAAGTTTTATATAGCCCCAAAGAATCACCCTTTTTCCACCACATTTTGCCATTGGAGGTATATAATCGGGATGATAACGCAAATTTGGGGTTCGTCTCAGATAGTTCTTGGCGCTGTAGTATAATTCAACGGTGATTTTTTCTGAAAAAACCCACAATTTCCCAAAAATGATCTTGCTTTTCTCGAAAATTTTGGCACCAATTTTTGCGTTTTTTTAGTTGATGATCCAAAATTTTGGGTTTTTTGGCGCTGACTCGTGCTATTAGTCCTTTCTTGATCAAAATTGATCAATTTTGGCTGGCTGACAAATATGAAAAAATGGTTCAATTTTTTTCGAAGCTCCTGAGACGTCGCAAAGGTAAATTTTTTTGCTATCAAATAGATATACGGTAGTTTTTTTTCGGCCAACCGACCTTTTTGGCTTTACAATAATGCCCATTTTCCAACCTACGGCATTTCTCTAAAAAATCCCACGCGGTAGAATTAGGAACTTTAGTTTTTTTTT